GCTGCCTAGATCTCCTCCTTGGTGAAGTGTCTGTTCATGTCCTGCACTCATTTTTTAATTGGGTTATTTGTCTTTTTCTTGTAGAAGTGTTGTAGAAGTGTTCCTATATATTTTGGAAATGAGTCCCTTATCTGATGTGTTGTTGCAAAAAAAAATTTTCCCATTCTGTGGGTTCCCTTTTTACACTTCTTGTAAAGTCTTTTGATGCAAATAAGTTTTTAATTTTTAGTATGTCCCAATCATCTATTTTGTCTACCTTTGTTTGTGTAATTTTCAAAATGTTTGGTAGTTTGTGTATTCCCTGAATTACAGCCCTCACATTTGTCCCTATTTTTTCAGTGATGGCCTTCATAATTTTGGGATTCACATTTAAGTCTTTAATCCATGCTGAGTTCATTTTTTTATAGAGCGTGAGGTTTCAATCTTTTGTTTTGTTTCAATGTTTTGCATATCACTTTCCAATTCTGCAAGGACCATCTGTTAAAGAGACTATCTCCTCCCCATGCAATACACCTAGGCACTTTGTTGAAAATCAGTTGGCTGTATGTAGATGGGTTAATTTCTGGATTCTCAATTCTGTTCCATTGATCAATGTATCTTTCATTGTACCAGTCCCAGGCTGTTTTAACCACTGTAGCCATGTAGTCAATTTTGAAATCGGGGAGTGAGAGGCCTCTAACCTTGTTCTTCTTCTTAAGCAGTGCTTTTCTAATCCTGGGTCTCTTTCCTTTCCATATAAAGTTTGTAATTATCTTTTCTATCTCTTTGAAGAATGTTGTTGGAATCTGGATTGGGATTGCATTATATGTGTAAATTGCTTTGGGCAGTAATGACATTTTCACAATGTTAAGTCTTCCTATCCATGAGCATGGTATGTTCTTTCACTTCTGTAAGTCTCTTTTGGTTTCTTGTAGTAGTGTTTTGTAATTTTCTTTGTATAGATCCTTTGTTTCTCTGGTTATGTTTATTCCTAAATATTTCATCCTTTGGGTGGCTATTATAAATAGTATTGCTTTCCTAATGTCCGTTCAGCACTGTCATTGTTACTATAGAGGAATCCAACTGATTTTTGTAAGTTGATCTTATACCCTGCCACTTTGCTGAATCTTCCAATGATGTCTAGTAGCTTTTTTACTGAGTCTTTGGGGTTTTCTATGTATAGGATCATATCATCTACAAATAGAGAGTTTTATTTCCTCTTTGCCAATTTTGATGCCTTTAATTTCTCCATCTTGCTGTATAGCTCTGGCTAAGACTTCCAAAACAATATTGAATAGAAGTAGTGACAAAGGGCATCCTTGTCTGGTTTCCGTTCACAGAGGGAAGGGCCTAGTTTCCCTAACACCAGAATGTAACCTTCACAGAAGTTGTAGCTTCCAGTTGAAGACGTCTTTCCTCCAATGTAGTAATAAAATGATTATGACTTTGTGGTAATCAAGGCATAAAAACAAAACTATTTTTGATTTGGTTATTGCTTTTGGATTACTTCATACAGGAGGTTTGTAACTTGTAAGCATTACATTGTGCATGTGGTTCCATTTTTTGGTTCATTTACAGCAAAATTACTGCAGGTAGTGGGCTTTTGCAGTGGCTTGCAATCTTGGCATGGCTTCTGTTGGATCTGAAATCGCCAATATTGGGCATGAGAAGGGGCTTAGAGTTATTGGCAGCTATGGTAAGAAAATATCATTGACTTAGTCTGGGACAATGTCACAATTATTTTCTTTCATTTATTTCTCACAACAAATTGGGTTGTTGCTGTTAAGTGCCTTTGAGTCAGTTCCAACCCATAGCCACCCTGTATATGGTTTCTAAGGAGCAGCTGGTGAGTTTGAACCACCAATCTTGCTGTTCAAACTTACTTTGCGGTCCAATGCATTAACCCAAAAGGCTCTAGCATATTTTTTTTCCCCAAGAATAGTCAAATTTTCAGGTTTTTTTCAACCTATCTCTGATGAGCTTGAACTGCCAACCTTGTGGTTCAAACCAACCTTGCAGTCCAGTGCATTAATTTCCATTTGATAGAAAATGGTGTGAGAACAGACAGTTTACAACCCCTTAAAACCAAATGACACTGAGTCACTCCAGCTCACAGAGACCCCGCCTGCAGAGCAGAGCTGGGTTCCATAGGCATTTCAATCACTAAGTTTTCAGAAGTCGAACGCCAGCCTTTTCTTTCAAGGTGCCTCCGGGTGGCCTCCCACATTTAATCTTTCAGTTGCCATGGAGCGTGTTAACAGTCTGCACCCCTTCCTACATCCAGGTACCCCACTGATCTACTAGAAGTCCCTCTTTACTCCTCAGTCACCATACAGCTCTGCCTCTGCCCACCTACCCTGACTTCCCTAAAGATCCCCTGTCTTCTCTCACTTCCTTGTCTCGCCACACCCACCTCTCTCTTTCTGTCACCTGTCTAAGTCCCACTTTACACAGCCTCAAGGCTGGTGACCTGCCTCAACCGGAGAGATGAGTGTATCCTCTATTCTCCCAGGACCCCTGGAACCACCCCTTTCAGAGTCTATGCAGAAACTGCTTCTGTATAAATTCATCTCCTTTAGGCTGTGTTTATGAATTCTTAACATCTGGTATAATACTAGGCACATTTTCAATAAATGCAACTGAATGCAATAGACCAGGAATACATACAAAGAGTACTGGTGTGGCACTGTAGGATAAGCACTGGACTGCTAATGAATAGCAAGGTCAGTGATTCAAACCCACCATCCACTCTCAGAATTTCTATACAGGGTCACTATGAGTTAAAAAACAACAAACACAAACAAGGATTGGTGATTCCCAGCCTCCCTCTCTGCTGTGTTTTCTCTCTCTCACTCTCATATATATGCTTATCATTAGTTGCAAGATAGACAAGGTTGTTTGTGTTTATGTTTATTTTAACTGCTGATTTTTTGTTCCATTTTTTCCTCTACTCCCTTACAGCATCTTAAGGAAAGACATGAAAGTGGACTTCTTCCGTCATCAGGCACCTCTGTCTCGAATGATCACGACTGTGAAGCCCTACAACCCCTTCAATAGGAAGGAAAAAGAAACTGTAGACTACTGAAAGAGGCCCGCCTTCTGGGAGAGCTCAGTGTCTGTGGCACGACACACAGCTTGGTGGGAAATAAAAACAGACACTTGCTCCCAGTCTGTCTGTAATGCTGAGGGAGCTTTGGAGCTCTTTCTGCCTCAGCCAGTCTCCTCCCTGGTCCAGCTGCTCTCCGTCTGGACCTAGAATGCCATCATTCCTTGATGGAAGCTGAGTCTTTCTGAAGCCACCAGTCACAGGGATTTTATTATAGCTGGTTTCTCTGTAGGGTTGGAATACCAGGTCTCCAAAGGGAATGTGTGTCCTGGCCAAATGAATACAGGAATGGTAACTGTTGAGCATAGATTGTGAAAAGATAGAACCAAAGAGTACCACAAAGATTTTTCTAGTCAAAACCTATATTTTCTCAATAAGAAAAGTGAGTAGCTAACAGAGAATGAGTCAGGCATTCTGCTTCTTGCAGAGGGAGCAACATCACATGGGAGACAACATTGCATCAGGACAGGCGTTACATATGTTACAACATTCATAGAAGAAACATTACTTAGGGGATAGCATCATATGGGGTGATATTGCATGGGGCATATGTAACCTTGAGAATGTAGAGTGGGCAAAATGTTTCTTTTCCCAATTGGTATTTCTTTAAGAGAGAAGGATATCCCTGCTTCCGTTAGGGTGATCAAGCAGAATGACCAGCTCTGGCCACGTTAGAGTTGAGGGTGGCAGGACTCGGCCATGCCAAGAGAGAATACTAACTCACGGAGCCACTCAGTTTGGCTGTAGATTAGGAGAAATCCCACTGCCTCCTCAAATATGTTGATATTTGCATGCACATAACTATGTGGGCCCAGGAGAAGATTTAGATCTGTATCCATGCACCAACACAGCCTGGTATCGTTTACAAAATGCTTTCACCAGTTCCCACTCCTTAGTTCCTGCAACCCTATAATTAATGACGGTACAAGCAGCTATTTTACAAATATCACATTGCTTGATGAACAGATAGATGAGTCTAGAGAAAGTGAAGTAAATCCCTGGTCACACAACTGAAAAAAGAACATAGCTAAAACTAGAACCTAACTTCTCTGAATTTAGATGCTGTACCTCCCTCACCTCTTTTCTACAAAGACTAGATAACCTTCACTGATGAGTAAAGAACCAAAAGCAAGATAGAATGACCAGAAACAGAAACAAGATTCCAGTGATTCTAAAGCTTTCAGCAGCATTTCTCCAGGTTTTTATCTGCCTGCCTTTTCCTTCTCTAAAATTCACAATGAGATGGTATTCCATAGGGCACCAAGCAAATGCTTACAATGTTTTGAGAGGTTTTTGTCCCTGCTTTATCTCTCAGTATCTCTAGTTGACATAAACAGTTAAAACACTTGCCTGCCAATGAAATGTTGGAGGTTTAAGTCCACCCAGCATTGCATCTGAAGAAAGAAAGACCTGGCAATGCACGTCTGAAAAATCAAACATTAAAGACCCTATAAAACACAATCAGGCTGTGAACCGCAAGGTCAGCAGTTTGAAACTACCAGCGGCTCTGTGGGAGAAAGATGAGGCTTTCTGCTCCCATAAAGATTTATAGCCTCAGAAACCCTGTACAGGGTCACTATGCGTCAGAACCAACTCCTCAGCACTTAACAACTCTGACACACACTTGGGGTCTGAATGAGTTGGAGTCAACACGAAAGCAATTAAGTTGGTGGTATTATTTCAAAGGACAGGAAAAGCAGCTCTTGGATTTGAAATCTTGTATTGCTTCAGTTAACAATAACCTTGACCTTGAAACAATCCCAAGAACATCTCTGTGTGCTACTACCTGGACTTACCCCGAGCTATAACAAACAGGAAGACCAGTAGCGGTCCTCTTGAGCACTTGCTTGATTTTCCAGACAAAGGATGATTTCACCGAAGTCTGGTCTTGTTTAATTACACTCAGAGCAATTCTATAAAAAGCCTACCAAATTAAAATCTTTGTCTCTGGAAGACTTTCCACAAAAACATGAATGAAAACTGCTGATTTGGAGGTACATTCATTTAGATCCCTGAGCTCACATGCTTTGGGGAACACCCCAGGCAGGCCACTTTGAGACCCCATTCATCTGCTGAGTCCTTCTATGGCAGTAATATCTGGGCAGGACATTCTTTGCAGGCTATGGTGATACTTCCAAGTTCTACTATGCAGCTACCTGGGTTTGTATCAGAGCATGAGTACCTCCAATGCTGCTCTTGAGGAAAATATTGTCTTGCCCTGTAGCCTCCTTGGTCCATATCTAGGATGACAGAGGTTGTGACTTTTGGTTTATACTATGACTAAGTGAGGGTGCTTGCTTTTGAAGATAAAATGCAAACAGCCTCACCAATGGAGAACAGAGAACTGTCAGGGTTCTAATCTATTACTCATAGATATAAGTTGCATTATTTGGGCTTCTATTGGCCAAAGCCAAACTGGAAGGAGAGTATCAGGAATATATAACTCCTCTTCAAGTTTTGAATTCTTGATGTATCAGATATCAACATTCTTCCATCTCCTCAAGTTAGCCACTTAACCCCTCACTCTTCTCCCCTATAATACCAGGTTTGATCTCCAGGTGGTGGTTGTGTGCTGTGGAGTCAGTTCTGATTCACAGCGACCCTGTATAGGGTTTCTGAGGAGCACCTGGTGGGTTTGAACTTCTGACCTTGTGGATCACAGTCCAGTGTTGATGCTATAGTACCACACCAGGAGTCTATGCAAATACTGATGCTTCAGGAGACCTTGCCATTTTTAATCAAACTGATATGGAAGATACTGATAGCTATTATAAAGTTCACTTGAAAAAGAAAATATGACTGACAAACCCTAACTGCTGTATATTGTAAAAACAATTATAAGGCACAGCAATATTAAATAAGTGGTATTCATAATAGAGCAAAATAGAAAATCCAAAAAGGAAACAGTAAGGAAATCATTCTGAGGCCATGAATACAGGACAGATTTTTATAAGAGACATTCACTTGGAAACAAAGGAGAAAGATAGGTCCAGCTCTTATCCTTTAACAAAAATAATAAATAAATTGTTCTTTGAAAAATAATTTAAGTGGATAAATTTAAAGATTTTAGATAATCACCAAAGAAGTACTGGTGGCATATGGTTACGTGGTTGTCTGTTAGCCAGAACGTTAGCTGTTCTAATCCACCAACTGCTGATTATACTCGGAGAAAGATTTGGGAATCTGCTTCTGTGAAGATTTGCAACCTCGGAAACACTATGGTGCAGTTCAACTCACCCTGGGGGTTCACTGAGTTGGGATTGACTCAATAGCAGTGGATTTGATTTTTTTTTTTTTTTTTTTCTGGTTAAGACAGATCACCTGGGGGTTGTATTATGGGATTTGATGTGTAGCAATCCTTCACAAAGAACTAAAGTCAAGAATCATAAGGAATCATTGTTCTAATGTAAAAAATACATGAACAAAAGTCAGAACAACCTAATAGGAAAATAATTATGTAAATAATCCCATTAAATTGTGATTACCCCAATAGGAAAAAAGCTAATGATGTTAAATACATTAAAAACTAAATATATTTTTATTTATATTTAAATTACCAGCACAGAAATAAAAGCCTCACTTGTTAGCCATGCAGTCAGTTCTGACTCATAGCAACCGTATGTACAACAAAATAAAATACTGCCCAGTCCCCCACAATTGTTTGACCATATTGCTTTTGCCATCATGTCGCCAGCGTGTCAACATCTAGCTGGGGGTCTTCCTCGTTTTCCCTGATTTTCCAAGTTTTCCCAGCGTTATGTCCTTCTGCAGGTCTGTATTCTCTTGTTAATATGTCAAAGTATGAAAACAGTCATCCTGCCAGTCTCATTTCTAAGGAGCATCTGACTGTGCTTCCAAGACAGATTTGTTTGTTTTTCAGGCAACCCATGATACTTTTAATATTCTTCTCCAAGGCCATAATTCAAATGAAATGATTCTTCTATAATCTTATTCATTATCCAACTTTCACATGCATATGAGTCTTTTGGAAATACCATGGTTTGGGTTAGGTGCACCTTAGTTCTCAAAATAAGCTATTTGCTGATAAACACTTTAAAGCTGTCTTTTGTAGCAGATCTGCCTGATACAATACTTTGATTTCTTGAATGCTGCTTCCTTGAGTGTTGATTGTGAATCCAAGCAACTTCAATCTTTTCTCAATATATATTGATGTTGTTTGGTGGTCCAATGATGAGGATTTTTGTTTTCTTTACATTGAGATGTAATCCATACTGAAGTCTATGGTCTTTGATCTTCATCAGTAAGTATTTTAAGTACACTTTACTCCCAGCAAGTAAGGTCATATCAAGTG